TGCTGAATAGACCAGCCCCATTGAATCCACCGAACATCGAAGCAGCCCACACAGACCTTCCAATAGATGTCACTCCACCAACGATCGAAGAAGTCAAGATGGCCATCAGACAAATCAAAAGTGGGAAGGCGGCAGGACCTGACAATATACCAGCAGAAGCACTGAAGTCAGACATTGAAATAACTGCAAACATGCTTCACCTTCTATTCAAAAAGATTTGGGAAGACGAACAAGTGCCAGCGGACTGGAAAGAAGGATATCTCATCAAGATACCAAAGAAAGGAGATCTGAGCAAATGCGAGAACTACAGAGGTATCAGTTTGTTATCAGTACCAGGAAAAGTTTTCAACAGAGTGCTGCTGAATCGGATGAAAGACGCAGTAGACGCCGAACTAAGGGATCATCAGGCTGGATTCCGTAAGGATCGGTCGTGCACAGACCAGATTGCGACACTACGGATCATCGTTGAACAATCAGTTGAGTGGAACTCATCACTATACGTCAACTTTAATGACTACGAGAAGGCGTTTGACAGCGTGGACAGGAGAACATTATGGAAACTTCTTCGACACTATGGAGTTCCTCAGAAGATCGTCAACATTATCCAAAACTCATACGATGGATTACAGTGCAAAGTGGTGCATGGAGGACAGCTGACAGACCCATTTCCAGTAAGGACCGGAGTCAGACAAGGCTGTCTACTCTCCCCATTCCTCTTCCTTCTAGCGATTGACTGGATTATGAAGAATTCGACATCTGAAGGGAAATACGGATCACAATGGACAGCTCAGAATCAATTAGATGATTTGGACTTCGCAGATGACCTAGCCCTCCTCTCTCATACACACGACCAAATGCAGATGAAGACAGCAAATGTAGCAGCAGCCTCCGCATCGATAGGTCTCCACATTCACAAAGGAAAAAGCAAGATTCTCAAATGCAACACGGAGAACACCAACCCAATCACACTTGACGGCGAAACTCTGGACGAGGTGGAAACATTCAAGTACCTGGGGAGCATCGTTGATAAACAAGGAGGATCGGATGCAGATGTAAAGGCGAGGATTGGCAAAGCAAGGGCAGCATTTCTACAATTGAAGAACATATGGAACTCAAAACAACTCTCAACTAATTTCAAGGTTAGAATCTTCAATACGAACGTCAAAACAGTCCTACTGTATGGAGCTGAAACGTGGAGAACTACTACGGCCATCATCAGGAAGGTACAAGTATTTATAAATAGTTGTCTACGCAAAATACTCAACATCCACTGGCCGGATACTATCAGCAACAGCGTTCTATGGGAGAGGACAAACCAGCTTCCAGCTGAAGAGGAAATTAGGAAAAGACGTTGGAAGTGGATCGGACATCCATTAAGGAAATCACCAATGTGCATCACGACTCAATCCCTAACTTGGAATCCGGAAGGGAAGCGGAAAAGAGGAAGACCAAAGAACACACTACGCCGGGAAATAGAAGCCGATATGAAAAGGCTGAATAGTAACTGGAAAGGAAGGCTCAGGACGGAGTTGAATGGAGAATGCTGGTGAGCGGCCTATGCTCCTCGACGAGGGGTAACAGGCGTAAGTAAGTAAGTAAGTAATGTCCTTAGTTTATACGATTATCGCAAACTTGGAGCATAGGCCACCGACCAGCAATCTCCAACCCACTCTGTTATGGGTCTTCCTTTTTAGTTCTGTCCAATTTTTGTTCATTCTTCTCATATCTGTCTCTATTTATCGGCGTAATGTGTTCATCGGTCTTCCTCTTCTCCTTTGGCCTTCCTTGTGACGCAGTTGGCTGAATTCCTCAATGTGTGTCCTATCCACTTCCAGCTATTCTTCCTGATTTCTTCCTCTTCTGAAATCTGGTTTGTTCTCTCCCACAGTAGGTTGTTGCTGATAGTGTCTGACCAACCAATCCGAAGTATGTTGCGTAGACAACAGTTAATAAACACCTGTATCTTCTGGATGATGGCTTTCGTAGTTCTCCACGTCACCGACCCACACAGTAGAACTGTCTTGTCATTTGTATTGAAAATTCTGATCTTGGTGTCGGTTGACAGACAGTTGTTTTGAGTTCCAGATGTTCTTCAATTGTAGATACGCTGCTCTTGCTTTGCCGATCCTTACCTTCACATCTCTATCAGATCTACCGCGTTCATCAATGATGCTGTCCAGATATGTGAAGATTTTCACATCCTCCAAAACTTCTCCGTCAAGTGTAATTTGATTGGTGCATATTGTATTGTATCGGAGAATCTTGCTTTTCCCTTTATGTATATTGAGACCTACTGCTGCTGAGGCTGCTGCTACACTGGTTGTCTTCTCCTGCATTTGCTGTTGCGAGTGTGATAGAAAAGCCAGATCATCTGCGAAGTCTATGTCGTCCAGCTGCATCCTAAATGTCCACTGTATCCCGTGCTTCACTCTAGATGTTGACGTCTTCATGATCCAGTTGATGACCAGGAGAAAGAGAAAGGGTGAGAGTAAGCAACCTTGCCTGACACCGGCCTTTACCTCAAATGAGTTGGTGAGTTGTCCTCCATGCACGATTTTGCAGTTTAATCCATCATAGGAATTCCGTATGATATTGACTATCTTCTCAGGTAGGTATGCCGTAGTGACGAAGAAGTCTCCATAGTGTTGTCCTGTCCACGCTATCAAATGCCTTTTCGTAGTCGATGAAGTTGATGTAGAGTGATGAATTCCATTCGATTGACTGTTCCACAATGATCCGTAAAGTTGCGATTTGGTCTGTACACGATCGATCCTTACGGAATTCAGTCTGTTGATCTCGAATTTGGGCGTCTACGGAATCCTTCATTCTGTTTAACAGTACCCTGTTGAAGACTTTTCCTAGTATTGAAGGAAGAGTGATGCCTGTGTAGTTATCACACTTGCTGAGATCACCTTTCTTGGTATTTTGATCTGAAGTCCTTCTTTCCAGTCTGTTGGTACTTGTTCTTCGTCCCAAATCTTACTGAAGATAATGTGTAGTATCTTTGCAGTTGCTGCTACATTTGCTTTCAGTGTGTCTGCCGGGATGTTGTCTGGTCCCACTGCTTTGTCATTCTTGATTTGTCTGATGGCCATGCTGATCTCTTCAATTGTTGATGGGCCAACATCGATTGTGAGTGCTGCTTCGATGATGGGTGGGTTCAGTAGAGCTGGTGGATTCATGAGTTCTTTAAAATGTTCAACCCACCTATTTCGTTGTTCTTCAATGTTGGTGACTACCTTGCCTTCCTTACTTTTCACTGGTCGTTCTGGTTCACGGTAATTTCCAGGTAATTTCCAGGTAGTTTCTTTGTTGTATCATACAATTGTTACATGTTTCCTTATCTTGCAGCATTTTCCGCTGTCGATGCTAAATCATTCACATATTCACGTTTGTCGGTTCTTATGCTTCTCTTCACTCGCTTGTTTGCCTCTGTGTATTCGGCTTGTGTCTTGTCTTTCTCTGCTCTTTTTTGGCTGGTATTGATTGCTGCCTTCTTGTTCCTCTTTTCTTCAATCTTATCCACTGTACTAACAGTGATTTATTCCTTATGGTGGTTCAGAACACCAATACTAACTTCCACTATATGCATCATATTTCAAACATACCTGCTTTGTATACAAGCCAAACAGACCACATCAAACCATAAAATTGGAAATGGCATTTGTACTAGATCAAGCCAAAAAGAGGCTGTGATTGTGGGAGACTATAATTAATAAACTGTACATAATTTAAGAACAGTAATTCGTAACATAATAGTCTATAGATCAAAATAAAGCTTATAATAGGAGGAATATGAATATACATAATCTAGTTACCCAATAACTATGCAATAAGAATATACGTGTAATGTTAGTCGATGAGTGGATCCCGACCGTTAGCTTTAATTATTCTCGTCGGGATGTGACAGGATTGTTTTGGCAACCATTGTTGTCATTATTAATTATAAAACTTTTTAACAACGATCAGATAGCGGGCAAATCTGATCATTATGGTCATTTGGATTCTTGAATTCAGATTTCTCTATTGTTATAGATAGCATAATTTTGTGGAGTTTCGAACCAATGAAATTGTTTCTTCAGCTATGATCATGCAGTCAGTTAGGGATTTTGTTTATTTTCACAATGTGTTTTGTTCCTGACGCATCACATTATCATACTAATGGTGTTTATTCCATGACACTTGTTTAAAGTCTTCTTTGAACAATCAGATGAATATTTCTGGCTTACATTTATAGTGCAGATTAATCATTATGTGGATGTTGCTACCATCTGTTTAACTGATAATAATTTGATCTTGTTTAGCACATGTAAATGCTTGCAGTTTCAGTAGGTTGGAAATTATCTACATCGTCCTAAACTGTGTCTTTGAATGTTATCATTTTTAATTTCATAGTCCATATCTGTTTCTTCACTACCTTCGAATCCTTTACTGGCAAGTACTCACAGACACGTAACATAATCAGAATGCTTTTCGTCATAAAATGCAGTACAGCGTTCACATCATTCAGTTTAATGATTACTATGCAATTAAAGCTTTGTCGGTTAAATCTATTCGTAACACTGATTATCATTTAGGGATTAATTAACTTTCATATCTAAAAAATTATGTTGTTTACAAAACTAGTCAGGTAAGGATTCTAAAATAAAATTGACGCTGGTCGTATTCTGTAATTAATGGATTGTTGAACATGTAGGATTTCATACTGCCTGGGTAATGAATGTGTCCTACTTAATAAAATTCACATGTTCATAATAATAATAATAATAAAACATATTCTGAAAATAATGGATTTCATCAAATGAGAATTCATTAAATTATGTACATGTATAACTATTGTTCGTTCTCAAGTTATGCAATCGTTCTCGGCTGATCATAGGTTGTTAATCAATTCAAATATTCATTTGTGTAGAAATTAAAGCCTTAGGAAAGTTTAAATATTCATGATAAAATTCATTACAATAGTGATAATAATGTTGTTTTTCATCTATTAATTACAGTTGTAGAAAGCGGTACATGCGTTGCTCAATCTGGAAGTAGTTTTTCGCTAACTGATAGTCTTTATTCAGTGGCAGATTCAACTAATGTAAGTATTATCATGGTTGATATTGTATATGTATAAATGTTTAACATAAACCGAAAATAAATTTTATTACGATTGGAGAACGTCTGACGACAGACAGACATGTTTTTGCTTTATTTCCAGTACGTAACGAGACCTCAGTAATACACACTAATAATTCCATACAGTCCAACGCTGAATGCCTTTAAGTCTCAAAAAAAGTAATCTAGTCTAATCACTAGTAGTGACTTTTTCCCAAATACATAATTTCTAGTGTTTTGTTTCATAAATTGTGGCGTGGTGTTGAATGTGAAATAAAGTAATGAGCAGCTGACACTGAATAAATCAGATTAATCCCTATCAATTTGGGTCAGATTCTCTCCAATAACAAACTAAACCGTTGATTGTGAAACCTACCTCAACCCTCATGGATATGATCCTTTATATAAAATTATCGATGTGTACTGTTGATAAGTTCAAACCTATTGTAACTTGGGTCAACTGATATTTTTGCTGAGCTCTGAGTTGATTGAGGCTGACTGACTGATTGACCTGTCACATTGTCTGATTATCCAATTTGTTTTGTTTTGAAAAGTATGTCTCCAAATCTTTTGAGTTCATATACAGACACACAAAGCGACAGAGGAAAAAAGTAAACAAGTAAACAATTCATCAAGGTGGGATGATTTTTCGAAAGGAATATACTGCACTCCCCTTGGTACTGTATTTTTGACTTTTACTAACATTGAACTATGTGTATTGTTCGTTCGGAAAAATTAATCTTATATTATTGTTATTACGGTCCGTTTTACTTTTTACACAAATAGGATGTTAATTTACTGTAGACGAATATCTACACTAGATTCCCTCCCAGTGTCTATTCTACAGGACATCAACACAACTCAGATCAAGAACACGTGATTAACCTGACCAGAACGTAAATATATTTCCACACCAAAACTCGACACAATCCAACAACAATGAACAATCAATCAATCAATAATAATAGGGGAATATATAACTCATCTGACACTTGTCAGACTATCTACATGTCTGACTAAACAGACAACCAATCATTCTCGCCCACACATCAATTATGATGATTTAGGTTCCTCTTGGTTTCCTTCTAAGTTCCCTTATTGTATGAGATAGGCAGAAAGTTGATCTATACTTTTGATCAATCCTGCACTTTTTGTTTACATTTCTTAATTCTTTTTACCAAGCCCTTAACATAATTATTCGTCATCAGAATGAACACAACTGAATTTACTTCAGTTTTTTTGTCTTTCGGTTGTATGAAAATTTGTTGAATTGTGTTCATCAGGACCTTGACAACTGTGATCTTTGTTGATACAACATGTACTAACCTGTAATCTAAATGTTTTCAAGAATCTGTTGACTTTGAACTGTCTAAGACTCATAGCAACTTAAGGTCAGGTCGAAATCAAAGTGTAGATTAGAAAAAAACGGTTTTTTGGCATGCATGAAATATTTGTTCTTACTAGTTGGTGTTCAATCAACTGGAAGAATTTCAGTATATAAGTCTGACTTTTAGACAGTCGGAGGTAATCGATAGTAAGTTTTGAATGTTAACTTTGTGCTAGTTAACATTCATAAATAGAGAGTATCTACAATCTAAATGGGAACTGACGCTTTTCATGGGAATCAAACCTATATAATCCATTGTTACGTCAGTGTCATTGATCTATTTCAATCGCGACTAAACTGTAAGCCGTGGATGTTCAATTGAGCATATTTCACGTGTATACAACTACCTAAATGATTTCAAGCCTATCTGAATAAGTTATAGGTTTAACTTACCAGAGGTTTGTTGACTGTTCGCTCGTTTAGTGTACACAAATAGTTGACCAACACATGCTATTCAGTTATATTATTAAATAATGTCATATTCAATATCTGTATTTTGTTAACCAACATTTTCATTGATGATTTCCATTTCCTCATTTCCTCCCCTCTTCCCAAATATAAGATGGTCGATGAATACTTGTCATTCAAGAATATGCGCAAAATAATTAGTAAGTTCATTATTTAGGACATTTTTGATTTTAGTAATCAGAATTTTCGTTTTACTACTTTCATAACATGAGATTTCATCGTAGTTTATGTTGTTACATGAAGAATTCTGTCTTATTGATTCAAGAAACCACTCTATAACTAACTGGATATAACACTTGACTTGTTACCAATTAGATATTAAACGTAGAAAACAGTGAATAACCTGAATCAGTATTGTAATGCTTTATATTCAAAGTGGTGGCTAAGTGGACAAGGCGTCCAACTTTCAGATATTAAGTCTCGAAATCGAACCCCATCCCACCTACTTCACTTTGGGCGATGTATATTTTCAATAGACCTCACATTTGTAACCGATTAAATAAAACTATATCTGGTAAATGAGAGATTTGTATGATTTTAAGATGCCTTTTCGCAAAAAAACAACAGAAAACAAACTCAACTAATGTCAGTTAGTTGATTAGTTTTAACTAGGGAGCCCTCTGCATCCTAGTTCCGAGTCTATATATGGTCGAACTCCATGTAACTATCATCAGGTTTTGTTATAAGCATAATAATTTAGACCACTGGGTTGGAATGCAATAGTATGGTGTTTTTTCAATTTCAGTTAACTTTTATTGTGTGTTACAATCCTCATTAAGCTTCTTTACGGTCATTTACTGCCTCATTCCTAACTTGGTTTACTTTGGCTCATTTGTACTTTTCATGTAGTATGAAGGATGGATTCAAAAAACCATGAATTATTATTAGAATATGTATAGATTATTTTGTTCTTATTATCTCGTTGTTATTGGTCAAACAAATCTGATTTCGATTCTTTTTCTGTATACTTCCTACCTTTTATAAATTCAATCGTAACTAGTTAGATTTTTTTACATTTCTCAATTTATGCTACCCTGTGCATTCAAGATATCCGCTCCACTCCATAACCATTTTGCATTTAAAAAGCAAAATGAAATAAAAAGGGATTAAACCCAAATGCCCTAGTATGGCCGAGAGTATGGAGAGTCCGCTATCCCTCTCGAAATGCTCTCACATGGCCACGCATATATAGCCTCTGCCAGGGAAGTCCTACTCACTGCCTTCTCGTGGTGGGGTTGTTTACAAAATTGAGAGGACGGAAAGCGAATGTCCGGCGCTTTAACCGGGTCAGTGGACACGGCGAGTCCACCTAGGTGAGTTGGAAAACCCTGATTTCAAACCAATGGTGCAAATGGGCTCCAGTATCCTGAGGGCTTATTAATCAATCGTTGGTCACCAGCTATCATGGGACTGCATCTCCTCATGATGCTCCACTGCCTTGTGGATCAGACCTTTAGGTCGAAGGCTCCGGATGTGGCCCCCTAAGACAACCACCTGCTTCAGTTTGGGCACCCGGTCAGTATCACAGCCCTCACACAAATCAAATGAGATTTGTATCGCGCATATGTATTTAGTGCCCCTTTGTACCAGTATTTATGTGTTTAAATAAATAATAAGAAGGAAAAATAACGAAATTACTCTAACATTTGTTAAGATTTTATAGTTTCAGTCTGTATAGTTGTTGGATTGAACAACTGTATTGTGTGATCCATTTAGTGGACATCAAATATCCAGTTTCAGTGAAACTATGGGTTTTGAATGAGAATGATTAACTTTACCTTATCTCATGTACTACTGCTATTATATATATACTGAATAAATTATCAAATGTATTCGATTGTTTTGTAGCTTAATTTTTATTTTGTATTTAAGTTCTTGTCTAACTTCTGGTATTTCTTAACCGCACAGATTATTCATTGGTACTATCTTCAGTTGACACCAATTTTTAATGAAAATTAACTTTAAAATTCTTTGTTTGTTTTATAAACAAAAAAGAAATGATTATGAAACTGCGTGAATTTAAAAAGATGGATAAATACAAATTAAAAAAATCTGACAAACAGTTGATGTTATGTTCTTTTTTCTTATGTTATTTTTGAATTTAAAATTACACAATCAGGCTACTGATGGTAATTACTAGGCGAACAGATTTTATGATACTGTTTTACGTATAGGAAAAGATACATTCATATGTGCGTACATGCATTTTTACATATTTAGATTTTACCATGCATACATATATGTATACTGATGAAATAATGACTGATTGAATGAGTAAAGTATTTTCACCCCATTAGTGATTAGATCATATCCAGTTGTACACATAAGAGAGAAATAGAATGATCTGTATAAACATACTTAATTATATTCATACATTTACATTTATAATGTGTACATTTATTAGAAGTCAACTAGTTACATTGTGTTTATATATATGCCTGTCTATGTATTGTATACAACCTGATTAATTTAATTATGTACTTATAATTATTGGAATGTAAATGTTTATAAACAGATAAAATTTATAATATATGTTGAGTACAACTGAGGAGATAAAAGACACAATAACCAGCTTTGCAATCATACTTAACAATATCAATTTTTGGTAGATTTTGATTTCAGGGTGAAATTATAACCTTAAGAAAACTTACCTACTTACTAGGATCAGGAAAAAGTTATAGATTAGTGTGAAGAGTCAGGATTAGGATTAAAGTTAGAAGTTAGTGTTAGAAAGCCAAGTTATGGTTTTTATCACGATTTAACATTAGCTATAATGTCAAATTGTTATTTAACCACTTAGATTAATGAACTTTACGCCAAAATCCAAGATTTACTATCTTTAGTTTCATTGGTTCGTTTATAAATTATAGTCTCTCCAATTTCGGTTGTCCATTCAATCCATGACACGCATTTCGTCCCATCTTTATGCAACTGTACACACATCACAATATTGACATTCGTACTAAAATTCGAACCTATTTTATTTTAGCTTCAAACATTATATATATATATATAGCTAAATAGCATACCGGTATGATGTACTTCGTAAAATCTTTTGCGTAAGGAAAGTTACAAATGAGTGTAATAAAGTCTCAATATTTTCTATGGACACATCGAAAATAGGAGGTCTATAAGAGAATTGGTCTGAATTTAGGATTAAACTCAGTGTCAAAGGGATACAGAACTCCAAATTCACTTTCAAAAGGAAGATGAACATAGCGAACTACTTTTCTTAGACTGTTTAGTTAAAAGGAATTCCAATCGTAGTCCAGATATATGGCTACATATATGGAAAACTAACACATTCAGATAAGTATATTGATTTGAACTTCGAGGTGGTTGGGACTTAATGTCTATATTTTTAGTTTACACATACTTTATAGAAGTACTTACAAGGGATCGCATTGCATCTTGTTGATAATATTGAGAGCTAAACTTTTTGACCGTTCTTTGTTCGCATATGCTCATCTTGAGTAGATAGGTCCATATAAACTTGTTGTAAATTCTAAGTTATTAACAGTTGAATCCAGAACATATATTCCGTCTCATTTGGGATTCTTCATATACAGATGTACCTTACCTACTTATTATACTGACTGTTAACTTGCATGGAAGATCAGATAATGAGCTGTTACATTATTGTACATCATGTGGAAATATTTACGCCTGTTACCCCTCGTGGAGGAAAATAGGCTGCCCACCAGCATTCTCCATCCAACCCTGTCCTGGGCAATCCTTTCCAGTTGTTATTCATCCTTTTCATATCTGCTTCTATTTCCCGGCGAAATGTGTTCTTTGGCTTTTCTATTTTCTGCTTTCCTTCAAGATTCCAAGTTAGCACTTGCTTCGTGGTGCAGTTTGATAACTTCCGCAATGTATATCCTTTCCATTTCCAACATCTTTTCCTAATTTCCTCTTCATCTGGAAGTTGGTTTGTCCTCTCTCACAGAAGGCTGTTGCTGATGGTATCCGACCAGTGAATGTTGAGTATTTCGCGTAGACAGCTATTTATAAATACTTGCACCATCTTGACGACAGTCATGTGGAAATAAATAATCTATTAACATTATGACGAGATTTAAAACCGTTAATATTTTCATTGCTATTTTTAATTGATAATCTAATGAGACATATTTAGTTATCACTAGTATGCTAGGAAAACAAACTAACGAAAACAACTGTAATTATACGGATTATTATCGCCATGTAATAAGATCCATTAAATCACTGACATTGGATATGGCAAGGGAATAATAAACCAACAATTGATATTATCCATTCATCTGATTATGTAATTTCCGTTAAACTTCTATACTACTTGGATCTGAAAATAATCACGAGAGAGAATTTTGGCAAGTTTATGAACCTACTTTCAAAACTTGTGCAGTCATTTAGTGTTTGTGATGTAAGAATAGATCAACTAGTTTCATTCTCAATCAATCACTATTATTTTTTTATGCTGTGATAATCTAATGTCTATTATTTAGTTTAAACTCTCTCGCCCATTAACTCTCATTTATTCTCTGTACTTAATTATTTAAATTTTTCTGACTTGTCTAGATGTGTTTTTTAAAGGTGAGTAATTTTGCTTAATGTAATTAATTAATTAAAATAAGATTTTATTAAAATATCTTCCGTTTAATTAAGCATAAAATAAGTTAGTTTTTGAATTCTCAGTTCATATTTGTTAAATTAATGATAAACGAGGTTATTTCTCTTTTGCTATTTTGTCAGTCGGTAGAAACTATAGAAGCATTTTTTTAAAAGTATTATTATTTAAGAACAAAATAGTGGTCATATTATCGTTTGCTTATTACACGTTGAGTCGTCGGCCTTTGAATCCTTATGTATTAGTTTTATTCTCTATTATCTCAATTTAATCATTCGTAATAATATTATTGTTTAACTGTTTTGCTTTCAATGCTTATCATTCCATTTTTCGATTATACAGATTATTGTGGTTATGGCTGACTCTTTTTCTTTAAATTTGGTTTGATTGGTATTAAATTGGTCTAATATCTTAATTGTACAACTTTCATTATCTTTCTGGATAAAATCAGTGTATTCTGATAACCTTACTCGTTGGTAATTAGTCTTAAGTGTTGTGTTATCCTCATGGGTATTCGCACTCCTAGTGGATAAATTTTTTAGCTTGATTTCTGACCATCTAGTTTTCATCCTCAGTGATTAATAGATTGGATCTATATTGAGATGTTTATTAATAGAGGTTATACAATTTAAATAATATATCTTCTAAGGACTAAATAGAAAACAGATACAAGTTATCAGGATAATTAGACTCGCCACTTACGGAAAAATCCAAAGATGTTCAGTTCTATTCAAACTAGACATTATCAGTATCATAGACAGTGTAGAACTTAGTACAAGTGTACGTCAACCTACGTTTTTTCATAGTATATCTACACATAGCCTATTCTCCTGCACGAGGGGTAAGACTAGATATGAATATATGTATCATGATGTAGAGAAGATTCAGCTCTTTCTGAAATTTGATTAAATCGTTTTCATTTTTATTTAATTCACAATTGACTGATTTCAATTCATATCTTTCTTCATTACCATTAATTTGTTTTCAGTTACTTCGTTGCACACTTATCTTATGTTTCTTAACCCTGTGTTCTAGTCACTAGTTCAATGTTCTGGAACTTTCCCTCTCGAACTTTATTTATGACCTTATTAGCGCTATTAAACTCTTCGCTACATCATGATACACATATATCTAATCACCTTCGTATTTATAAGTATGTCAATATATGTAATAACTTTAATTTTAAAATAATATAGGTTGTAAACAGCTGATGAGAACGTAACAAAATAAAATGAATTCCTACTATCCTGCACCAATCTTTATTTTTGCTCTTTTTTAAAACAATGAAGGAAATTATGTGTATGAAAAGATTAATGCATCCACAAAATGAAGGGTATCAAATAATTTTAAAACTTATAATCTTAAGGAAGCCATACGGTGAATTTTGAGATAGGAATCTTCATAAATTAAACCATCAAGCTTATGGGATACAGCTTTTTTGGATCCATGTACCCAAGTTACAAATTTCTCTCTGCTATTAAGTTACCTTTTTCCAAAACTTGATCATTTTACCGTTCTTTGTTATTGCTGATGCGATGGTCGAAAGTGAACCTCCACTGATTGTTTTATAGGTTTTTATTTTTATTCTTGACTAACTATTTACTGTATTATTGTTATAGTGTCTTCTTCATAGCCTTAGTTCCTTAAAACATCAACATATATTGAAACAAGAGTTCTCTTTTTGAACGACTATTTCACTAAGATTCTAAATCATTTATCCGACCCATTTTATCAAATGATTATTCACTCATCACTCAATCAAATATTTTATCAATCACACCGGTCTTAGATTTTCCCCTTTTTGTTTCTGAATCTCGTACTATGTGCTGACTATTTGCGTCAACTACACATTTACGAAAAATCCGGGATTTATTTTCTCTGTTGTGTTGATAAAGTTAAAATAATTCGGACAGTGAATTAAGAATAAAGATGGACGTTAGTTAATGTTTACATTTTTAAAAATACTTTATTTTACTGTATAAGAATCCAACGGTTATGATCAATGGAATACTTTTTATGACCTATTAAAAACAAACTTTTTATTTGAGCTGTTTCTAAGTAAACTGTATAGCACTTTGGATTATTAGTTACCCTATTCTTTCCCCATAAATTTTTAAATTTCCCTGCATTGTAAATACTCAAAACTAAATTAATGATTGACAATGCATTCACTTGTGGTAAGTCCTAGATAAAATGTAACAGTAGTAGTAGCATTGTTTATTTCTGTCTATATACATTAGTAACGCTTTAAAGTTCAGAAATTGTTACACAAACTCTACGTATATTTACTAATGACTAATGTGTTGAGTTCTGTAACTTTTCTAAAAAGATAAATATATTTCTTTCTACATTAACAAGTCTTTACCACTGTTGTTTTACTACTTTAAATTATATCAGTTGATTACGTGTAACTTCTTCAGTATTTACGTGAATATAATCTTTGCGGCAAAATATGTTTTTGTGCTGCTGCAACATTCCACGAGATAAAAATATCCAAACATGTTTATTCCTTTACCATTATTCTCTTATTTAAATATTGATCCAAATAAATACTACCGTTTACACTGGCACAGATATTGTTCATTAATATGATGAGCAAGAACGTTAATTAATGACGGCTCAAATGACATACTCAATTGATTTTGTTTTCCAATAGTGTATAATCTGTAATCACATTTTATGGTGTGGTTATATTAGTTATATCTTTTGGTTTTAGGTGTTTAATTATATATTGTAAATATTCATTATTGACTAATTAATGTCTGGTATTAATCAGTTTAATATATACAAAAGTCACTGTTAATAAATGTAAATCATACGAAATTGTTCTATTCAGACATTGGTTTTGGTTTATTTTTGGTCTTAAATAAATCCTTATCTATCATCTTCACATTCTTATTTGTGTCATGCAATTCACGGGATCAAGACGTCAATATCAGTTAGCTACCGTCATAACAATTCATGTATTTTGCACGGTGAAATAAATCTTCACCTTCATCAGTTTTCGTGTTCTTATTTGTATTGTGTAGATTGCACTAGTTTCCTCAATCAAGTAATATCACCTATTATCGCGGTTTCGACATTAATATTATCTTTAATTTAACCAGAATATTTAAAATATAAAAGGAAATAAAGCGATTATTTAATCGAAATGAATTCTAATTGTTTTCTAAATTTCTCTGTTTTTCCTTAGGCAGAACAAGTTCACTTGCACCTTGCAAATATACTCTATTTTTTGTATAATGAGACATAAAGCATGTCCGGTATTTTATTGAATAATTGACAAATGTTTTCACTTCATAAGGATATTAGCGTTTTTTTAAACTTGATATTAATTTTCTTTCATTATCATTGCTAACACAAACATCACTCGATGGAACGTATGATAGGGTAGTAGTAGTAGTAGTTTTTACAAGACTGCTTCTTAAGTGAGGTTCTTTATGAATGAATAGTTAATAATCTTCCAGAGGTAGTCCTACAGATATCAGGCATATATATATATATATATACCTGTTTATAATCTAGAATTAGTCGTAGTGCATTCAATTTTTATTTTCCACTAAATCTTGAGTTTCAATATTATTCCGTACTTTTTATTTCTTGAATTCCCCCCTCTTTTGAACAGTATTATTCAAGGTTTAATTTTGCCGTCGTTGTTACTGCAGCTATTTTTACTTATTTACTTTTCACCTCGTTCTGTTGATGTGCTGACGTACATTTGTACTAAACTCTACGTTGATTCTAACTGATTAACTGACTTTTCTGAATAATTTCATCGTCTACATAAAGGCTACTACACATGAATGATGTCATGTGTAATCTTGTAATTCGGATACGACTTTATAAGATTTTCTTTCACGGATTAGTTGTTTTTCTATGTGAAGGGAAATATGATTATAGAGTGATAGTTCATACTTCGTACAACTATGACTGATTGATATCACCTAGTCATAGTGTAGTTAGTAAATAAAAGTTGAACTGTCATTTGGTTTTTGTAATAGGTATTTTTGTGTAGTCTTTTCACACTTTGTTCTTCATGTTTTCACAAATTCCATTTATTTATTTATTTATATACATAGGTGACGGAGAAGAAATTCAAAAACCGCCGAAATTTGTCGAAGAAGATCGTTTATTAGGCGGATGTTTTAATTCAGTTGAGTTCAATGAAATCTGCGCTCAACAACGTGAAAAAGTCAGTTTTGTACTTTTTTTTATACATATCTGCATAAATCTAAAGACATTAAAATGTTAACACCTCATATATACATTGGAAATATTTACGCATACATTTTTTTAACGAATAGCTTTCCGGTTTCAGAGACTCAGTATCTAGCGCTTGGCAGATTTCTGTTTTTGCCGCAGGTACTCTGTTTCTGTTATTGTTTGAAGTGTTCGGGTTACAGCGTGTATGATTTTGGTAAACTAAAGAAAATGTGAGCGCAATACCTCTGTAAGCTCACACGCGATAGATGGATTGACATTAAAACAATCAACAGTACCCAGCTTAACACAAAAATGAATTCGAAATAATCTAACAATTGAGAATAGGGATTGAATACGTTATACAACAACCATTAGTTCATTATCACTATCATTAGAAAAATTTCTTCTGTCAACACGTTTTCCTTTCAAAATCAAAGCCTTAATAATTTTTATTGCTGTGAGTAAACTACCACTGATGAGTTTGTGCACAATGTCTTATGTTATATTCAGTATTAATACCAAACAGTCAGTTTGCAATGTCTCAAATTTCAAAAAATATTTCTATTAAAGATCTTTAATTTATTAGCTTGTTAGAATTACTGCCGGAGAGAGAACCAATAAAAATCAGGGATAACTAGGTGATATATGTGAATTCCAATTATTTCAAGGACAGAACATATCGATTATATGACGTGATAGTTGCGTTTTTTTAAAAATTGTAAACAGTCTGAAGCTACGAATCAGTAGCTATGATCTAAGATGTTTAAAAAAATTGTATATTCAGTGAATGAACCATGGGTCATGTAATTAATGTATCTCGCTTTATTATCGTGAGTAGAGTGTTATTGTGAAATCCCAAAACTAAACCGAAGAGAACACGTTCAGTGATGTACAGTTTTAAATAATTATTTTCGTTTATCATAAATACACTTTAGTGTTAGTATATACTTCTTATCTGTTGTTGTTGTTGTTATTGTTGACTATATTAGGCACATTCTGTACGTGCACACATGGCTGAAGTATTTGATGATATATCATCATGTGACTTCTATCTACATGATATGTCTCCACCTATTTTAAACGGTCTAAAAAAACTACAAGGACGTGAAAATTTCAATCCTTCATCTGTCAATGATACAGTCAATAATAAATTCAATTCTGAGCAATTCAATCCCAATATTAGTTTACCTATTGGCGGTGGTAATCGCCTTGGCGATGGTAGTGGTGCTATAAAATTATCAAAGAAATTAACTAAATCAAGTCAAGCTGTTTGGGAACGTGAATTTGGATCATTGTTTTTTGTTTAATTCATCAATCATTCCTTCCTCTTTTCACAGAGGTTCTCACGTTTTTGGTGTTGTTTCGTCTCCGTTATGTCCTCATTCTGTGTGTTTTCCTTTTCACTTACCATATTTTGTTTAAAATGAGTGCGAAATCAGTCTTTTTTTGCGTGTTAGCCACTCTTGTGTATTTCCTTGTACTTTGTAAGGTTAGAAAATAATCTCAACAATCCTAGTACCATACTAATATTCATTGACTGTACTTTTTGTTTAGAAAAGAAGTGTTTATTACGTTGAAATAAAAAAGTGCAACAATACTTTTTTTCTTGAAGTCTTTTTCAACTTTAAAGCTATGATACATCTATGTGCACATGACTGACTTCATGTGTGTGTTTTTCGCCTTCATGATACTTTGTAGTAAACAGCGAAATCACCAACATTATTATTATTATTATTATTGTTTTTAAAACTAATGATGAATTATTTGTGTTTGTTTTTTTAAAAACAAAAACATGACTGTGATCTGTTCTCCTATTTGTATGTTTGTGCGAGTGTGCTTATACTCACTTGACTATTTAGTTTGGTTACTTGTACAAAGAAGTTTGAATAAAAGGAACAGTCAAAACTACTCGTAGTTGCTTATCATTATCCTACATTTTCTCTTCAAACTTGGTTAATTTTCAATTTTTTTGATCATTTAAAAGTGAGTAAAGCAATAATGACACAAATTCATTATGTATATTTTCCATTGATATTATTATAAGTGACCTGTACTTCCGTATTCCTCTATTTAAAAAGAGATGTATTTGTATGCTTATCAATTGGATTCTCCCGTTATATTCATGTTAAATCCAAATATAATTATGTACAGTTACAAACTGAGTCATATATGATGTGTGTATTTGTTTAGAAGAGTTAATGATTTTTCATTATTGCCATGATGACTACTAACTGTCTTACTCTTTCCATTTCAACAGACTTTGTAACATGTTGATGGTGTTTACTTGTTTAGACAAATCAATTAACAATTTATTTCGAAATGTTCGTTTGATTTATTTATCTCTTTTTTTTAGATAATTTTTATCTATTTATCTTTCAAAAGAATTATTACTTTATAGTGAAATAAAATAAGACACTGTAAACTAGTTGGACTTTGTTGTATTAAATAATTTAATGTTAACAATACACATTTTCCAACTCAGATGAATGCATTCGGTTGTATTGTGTTCTTTGTTGAACTGAATAGTTTATAATTGCGAGGCTTTCATTACTATTCAGTAATGCTTCTCTCAAGATTATTGTAATGAAATTATTAGTTAAAAGTTATGAATGCTCACTAACAACAGAATCCGGAATAGTTTTCTTCAATTAATGCTTTCTTATCATAATACTAATTCATTAATAAGCATCCCGTTATTTAATACCATATGTTTGATTACAGTAAATGATTCTCAGCATTACTACACAATATTATAATAGATTTCGGTTTTGTTTTCCATCTAAACTGCTAATATTCAAAATGTTTAAAAAAAAACAAGTTTATCACCTGCCATTCATCTTTATCCACGAACATTCTTTGACTAGTTTTACTCTTAAGAAATCAATTTTTGTCATGTAACATGTTTCATACATGAATTACGGTGTAACCATTTGTGGCTTTTTAAAAGAGCATTGGAAAAAAGAAATATACCAACCACCGTAAGAGTCTCGATTGAATTTGATAGGAATTATATTAGCGATAAGTTGTAGACCTTTCATTAGGGTGATTGTGTACATGAAAATTGTTCATTTAGAACAAATCAAAAATATATGTTGAAATGTTTGCCAAGTTGAAAAATAAGCGATTGATAAAGATCATTTCCTGAACCCCATACCTGACGCTTAAGACAAAACAGCATTATCCACGAGTCTTACTTACGCCTGTTACCCCTCGTAGAGGGGCATAGGCCACCCAACAGCAGTCTCTATCGAATTCTGTCTTGGGCAATCCCTTCCGGTTGTTTCCAGTTGCCATTAATCCCTTTGATGTCAGCTTCCAATTCTCGACCCAGTGTGATCTTTAGTCTTCTTCTTTTCCATTTCCTTTCACGAGAGTATGCAGCCTTGTCTGACACCGGTTTCACTTGGAGTGCATCTGTCAACTGTCCTCTATACATGACTTTGCGGTGTAGTCCATCGTATGAATTCCTGGTGTTGACGATGTTAAGTGCACCATAGTGTTGAAGAAGGTTCCATAATGTTCTCCTGTCAAATGCTTTCTCATAGTCAAGAAAGTTGAAGTATATAGTACTGAATTCTATTCAATTGATTGTAGTGTCGCGATTTGGTCTGTTCACGACCGATCCTTATGGAATCCAGTCTGTTTATCTCGAAGCTGTACGTCTGTTGAATCTTTCATTCTGTTCAGCAACACTGCTGAAAACGTTTCCACGAGTCTAGTGAGTCGTAATAATCAAAGGATTCTCTGATGGGTATTGTTGTATTCCATTTCCTCTTTGTTGTTATACTCATTGTTGAACTTAACCAGTCTTCGCTGGTATATGTGCTCCCTAAGCAGTGTATTTCGCTATTACTTGGAGGCTGTCTCAGCAATGGAGAAATACAAACTTTTAAAACTAGTAAAAGATGCTTTTATGTAAAATAGTTTTCAGATACTAAAATATATTTCCGTAAAATCTAACACCATGTATTTCGAAAAATGTTTTCCTACCTATTAAGAATTTTTTAGTAACAAATATATTCGAGTTATACTTGAAAGACAGATCATCTGTATAATAGTAATTTGTTTTTTTTTAATCGTAATATATGTATACATGGAAATAATAACATTAGATTCTACACAATCTGTGGTATGTATGCATGAGTAGAATACACAATTTGATATAATACATTCATATAGTGTCCTTAAAAAGGTCATCTAAATTAGCATTTTCAGTTTTAAGTAGCTGGAATGATCACGAAATTTTTTCCGAAGGAAGAGATAAAGATAACGACTGTGTTAGATGCTTATGTTTTTTAATGATGATTTATAATTAATGGAACTACACTTCAATAATTGTATGCGGAATGAGAATGAGGCATTTAGTAGCGAAATTTCAGTTGTGTTACACTGCATATGTAACTCATTTTGTGTACAGTAAAAATGTATAGGGACTCAGTATTAGTCGTTTTAAAATAAACGAAACTGACCAATAGGGGTTGAGGTAACTCCAGTATATATCTAATACCCTGACGTGCACAACTTTGTTTTATGAATTCATTACTCTAACAATATTGATTCATTCTACAAACTGAAGTAGTCTAATTCCTATAGTTCTCATTTGTCAATAAATAAACTTGTTTCAATAAATTTCAATGTTTCATTATTATTATACAGTCAAAATTAAGTAAATAAAATTCATTTGTTACGCTAGATATGACACATAAATGAGTTATAATTTAATTTGTTATACTTCACATCACTATCATGTGAAATGAAATAAATAAGCTCTGAGCAAGGTGGTCGAAGTAATTGTAATGTTTATAGTGGTAAAAAAGAGTATGCATTATATTTGGATAGTTTTAGGTCTCGTTGTTGATAATAGGGTCTGCAATAAATTAGTTTTTATTGGTAAAGTCGGATTGTGACCAGTAGTGAGATCTGAGCCAAACGCCTCATCCTACTTACGACTCGTTAGCTAGATGTACCTACAAGCATTAACATAGTGGATAAAAATTAAGCTTTCAAGCTTTAGGTACTGTGTTCTGTTCTCAGTGTACACAACAAACTGGTACATCCAGCTGGTGAATCTTGAATTGGACGAAGCGTGTGTGCTGGATTCCACAGTTAGCTTCAATCTAACTTCACTTATGATTGGAGGATATATTTTGAAATGGGGAGGATAAATTTATCCTACATAAAGTTTGAAATTCACTATGTATTTCGGAGATTTATGTGGATAATTATTTAAATACATGAATTAATGTATAGCATTATTCTCTTTCAGTAAAAATGTCTTCAAACATCAGGGTATTACTAATATTATTATGTAGACATGAATATTTAAAAGTAATAATCCCATTGCCAGCTTTTACACAAACAGTATTCCAAACCTATTTCCATCTACCTAAGAAATGAACACCCATAACCTTACATGGGAATGAACTTAAGGTATTCTGATGACTAAGATAAATTTATTCCATCAAGAGCAAACCAGATAGTCTACATTATTAACTTTTATTACTTTATCAAATAACGTGAGCGGTTATCATGTGTGTGAATAGCATCAAAATTAATTGCCTTATATTTTAGTAATAAGTCGTATTTTGTCCAATCAACTATGATGAAAGTATGATTGTTATTATTATTACATTATGTTACGAACTGCCTGTATTTGGAACTTGAAATCATTGACTTTAGTCAAAAGTTGTACTCTAAAAGTACCGCGTTCACCATGGGACTTAAATTTGTGAATAAGCATTGTTTAAGCCCAAAAATATGAACTAATAGTGGCTCTTAAGTTTCCAGGCAATCTTATCTAACAATGAAAATCAACTTCAATCAGGTGTAAATGTCTATTCTTTTCTATGAAGTCACTTACTATATTTTAAATAATAATACACGTGTGAATTACTAGAAAATATAGATTAAATCGAAAGTAGGTTAAACAGAACAATCACTGGCACTCAATTTTGACTACATACTTTAAACAAAACATGTAATATTAACTTCAAGTTAAGTTCTATTGAAAAATAGATACAAATAAAAAAATTTTATTGTTGTTTTCTAGTTCCAATATAACACAATTCACATAAACTTTCCAAGGTAAGGTCAGTAGAACAGACAATTAAAACAATGATAAATTAAAATAATATTTGAATTAATGACAACAATGTTAAGAATAAAGTATATAAAATGACAAAAACATTCATTATATGTTAGCAAATATGGATGGAGGCTAACACTAGAATCCAGGACCCGCGTTTTGTCCTGTTTTGGACTCGTCAGTTGGATGTACATTATTTGCAAAATAGTACGAGTAATTAAGTGTATTTGTATGATTAAATTCCTTTGCAAATGACGTAATGAACCATGGTTAATAGCTTGGTCAACTACGTTTAATAATAGACGTTACAAAGGCGATCATTTTGAATACTGTCTATTAAAAGTTTTTCTCTATGTTTAACATCTAAACGCTGTCGCAGATGTTGAAGGAAATCATATTTTCTGGATCAAGGTACGAATATCTGAAAGTTTCCCTGGTTGTATTATTTTTTGGCGACTACTGTTTTTCAGTGACAAATGTCTTAAAAACTAACCATTAATTAAGCCGAATATTAGATTATCATAGTCTTCTGATACAAGTTTAAACTTACTTACCAAAATAAAATGAAAGTATGAATCAATCATTAGGGTTGGTAGGATATGAGTAAAGCGAAATAATCACAGGTAAATTGCGAACACAGTGAAATTCGTGAAGTTCAAAAATGGTTGACGTATAGTTTTACTCACATATTTATAAAACAGCATTTACATTTGTAAGGTGAAAGTCTCAAAGACATCTATCTGAAAAAAGCTGCAAATATTATAAAATAAGAAATTCATCAACAAACACATGAAGGGAATGAAAAGAAGACAGAATGTACCTACCTTTCCAAATAAGGTACTGTTCGTTAAATTACAATATCTTGATGTTGCTACCGAGGAAATTGCAGCTCAGTAGTTTAGAAACACGGTGCAGCCAAACTGAATGTGGTTTTCTGCAGTTGCCTGATAATGAAAACCATCAATAAAGACAGACTGCTTTAATTCACCACATCTATGAGTATTTACAAATTCACTTGCTCCTGTGGAGCCAGTAATATAGAGCGTAGAATTCGGCAAGTCCATCATCGCATAGCAGATCACCATTCGTCTTTGTTGACCAAAGGAGATATAAGATGATTAAGAGTTCCATTCTCGCTGACGTGGTAGACACAGGCCATCAAGTTGACTTGAATGAAGCTTTTAAGGTTAGCCAACGTATTCCATGAGATTTTACCACATGGTTGACCAGTTCGTCTGTTTCATATTGTTGAAACTATCGAAATCTGTTTTCACAAACCTATCCTTTGCATCCAAGAGAAGTTTGTACAACTGCTCTCGCTAACTTGGGGATCAGTTTAGGCGTGAATTTTTATTTGAACTTTGATTAAATCCTTGCTTTCAAAAATATTTAAACAATTTTCCAACTTAATTGAAATCATGAACCGATTAAGTTTAGGCTACCATTAAAATCCTGGACGGCCATTTCCTCAATGGTCGTCTAACATTGATCGGTTCACAATCTCAATGAGACTCAACAACCTCCAAAACCCTATACTGATGATTTTCTAATTTCTGTCACTTTGTATTTCTGCATATTCTGAACATCTAATTCTTGATTCCTAAATAACTACTATAATACTGACCTTTCGTCAAAATATTTTGTTAGCTCTTCTTATATGTTATGCAATGTATTAACTGTTTAATTTTTCGAATGACTAAGAAGCTTGAAGATTTTAAACGTCGCCTGATTAAAGTTCAGGAAACAGCTCACAAGTTATCGAATATTGAACTTGGAAATTCGAGATAATTCTCGTAGTTAGTTAGTGTTAGACAAAATCGAAAGGAAGCATACTTGAAAGCTTCGGAACAATGACACTGAAAAAATAACATCCTTAATAACTTTGAGGGATAGGGTCCGGACTTT